TCATTGGCGCCTTTTTTTCAACCAATGCGAAAAGTAAAATTTAGGCAAAAACCACGTTGATTATGTCGACACCAGAAAAGAAGTGAAGATGTAATTATAAGGAACCCGCTGTCGGATTCACCGACAAATTTTGCATTTGGCGCCCAATTTTTATCCAATTTGGTTCAGCGCGGAGCAAGCACCAAATTTTCCAATGATTAAATTCCTGTTTCTTTCGTCCAATAGTCTGTGTGTTTTCACAAAACAAAACAACATGGAAACTATCGGAAATTTGACATATTTTTCAGCTCAGGCGTTGAAATCGAAGATTCTATGTTAAACGTGATGATTTTTAGTGGACAAGTGGAATAACAGGTGGGACAGATTAAACCGACCAATTTTGTTTTCTGCTTTTGAGGCAACTTAAGAAACGTTTCAAATCTGACGTTGATCTCATCATGGAGAATTCATCACTCTACAAAATTGTCTACTTTGTTTTCCAAATAACATTTTCTTTTCGGCCAAAAATTCAAAAGATTAACGCCTACTCGATCGCCCAGCTGCGATCTTCTGTTTTCTACAGACATATATCGATATGTATAGGCCTATGCTCATGAAATCCGATGCAAAAAGCGAAATATTTAACATCAATATATGGAGAATGTTGTGCTCTGCGCTTCCACGACCTTTTCAAGATCCCTGAGGCTATTGTTTAGGAGAAAAAGGAAACTAACACCAGATGGTATTTTTAGATACATTTAGAAAATCATACAAAGTAGACAGTTTTGCAGAGTGATGAATTCTCCATCGCATGAGATCAACGCAAGGTTTGAAAACGTTTCTTAAGTACTTCAAAATCAGAAAACAAAGTCAGCCAGTTGAATCTGACCCACCCGTTATGTTACCTTCTCTACTCTAGCTCTTTTCTTCACCCAGATATCCGCACGATGAGACAGATGCTATAGTTTCATCGCGCCAGTCATGACCAAACCAAACAAAATTGGCTTCAACCTTATCCATGGTAAAAAGCCATCCGTTTGACTTGGAATAAACCTCAGTCCACGGTCACGTCAGGTACGAATCTGCACAACTCGACCGAAAAACTAGAGAAAGATTATGCTCAACATCCTTTTGATGCAAACTTGAGTAAAGACGACGTCTCGGTCAGCTTTCAAGTGCGAAAAGGTATGAGTATACTATCTGCCACAATTTGGCTAAAGTACGCTAGATACTATAAACAGAGAAAGGAAGAGAGCAGCTGCGTACCCCTTCTGACTGTGACCAACACTGCTCGTTCGTTGAATTTTACCGAGCTCCTTTCGAGCTATTTTACCCGATGGCGGCAGCGGAAATTTACTGTGCACTTGCCAGGCAACTGGAACCATAAATGAAGGCAAATATTGTCGACAATAAACTTCAACTTGATGAACAAGATCTCGATAATCGACAGCAGATGTCACCAATAAATGAACATGATAGATACTCGTCGTTCGAGTCTTTCACTTCTTCCTTCTGCACAACACAACCACTGACCAAATCGCTCACTTCCATCACTATTTGTTCGACAACTTCAGGCTCGAGAAGCTGTCCATAAATTTTGACACGAAAATCTTGACGCCCGACATAGACGATGTCTCCATCTTTGTTATATCGACACAAGTCACCCGTACATACGTAAAGATGGCTTGTTGTTGAAACATTTGGCAGCGAAACCTTGGTGCGGCCAGTCAACACAGCATCGCCTCGATAGCATTTGAAGACACCATCATCTGTAGAGATACTTGGATGCGTTAAAAAATCTCTTCTGAAACTATCTCAGACAAAAAGAAGGACGTAGCTAAATCGAAATAGTTGACAGTCTTCCTACTCCTTCTCCTGATTCCCATGTGCGCAGAAACAGCAAATGTTGCAGAAAGTGAAGAAAGCGTCATTCTGGAGACTGCATGGTCTCAAATGAGCATATGCATAGTGGAAGAGTTTCACATTTTAGCCCAAATGGCTCCGTTGACAGACTTTTTTCTTTTGTGCATCTAAAGATCTGGGTCTAATAAAGAAAATTGTACGGTATCAATCAGAAGGCTTGCTGACTGGCACAAAGCACACCGAAGGTACACTAAAACTGCATCCTATACAATATTTGCTACATCTGCTTTCTGACTCCATCTCTCATTTAAATCTGAGCTCTGACCAGTCAAACCTTTTTAAAGTTTCCAAATGAGTGGACCGCGAATGGTCGAGTTTGCTCTGAAAGTTTTAAATACGTCGATTCTCCGAATGTCAGACAGGATCGAGCTCGTTCTGAATAGGTGCGGGTCTTTGAAGCTTACTTTTTTCGCACGAGAAAAAACTAAATTTTTCATGTAAGTCATTGGACATCGCGACATTCTGGGAGAGAGATAGTCATAATTCCCGAATGGGATGCTACAAGAAAAGTAGCAGGAGACATGAAGGGAACGATTTCCTTTCAATTTTGCAAACAACTATCGACGTTGTCAGTAATCATCAGACTATGTTTAAAACGAGCAATTTATTTGCCTCACCCGCTACTATGCAAAGTTCACCGACAATGTCGTGCGTTGATATTTGCTGTTGGCTGTCCATGTCGAGTAAGAAACATTGACGTCCAGGCATACTTTTACCAATTGGCAATGTGTCCCAGTCTTTCATTGCTTGCACCATGTCCCTGCTAACCACATTGATAATGGTGCCTAAAGTTTCTGCTGCGCCGAACGCGATTATAATATGTGGTAAAGGCCGTTGATTTTCTGTCAAACGCAGGAGAGGAGCGATGTGATGTTTGGTGACAATCGATTCTACACAAGAAAAATAGGATGACAATATTGTCACTGACGAAAGTGTTTAACAAACAGCCGGGTAAGAGTTAGGTTCAATAAACCTAAAGTCAATTCTCCCCTCATATCAATTAACCGGTCTATGTACTGTGCTAGAATCAATAATTTAGGAAACTAGGACGCGACTGTTGATACGACTGAGTTTTTTGGATGCGGTTGGGAATGCGTGGCATTACTCATTTATAAAAAGTGGTTCGACTAGAGTTTTATGAAATCACCGTTTGTATAAAATGTACTGCTCACTTTGTCAAAATAGTAGACTTAACTGAAAACAGTCGTGAAAATCGTATGACACCATTTGTTACGAACCAGCATTCGTTTTGAACTCGCTGAAAAGGGATTTGAGAAAGTTTTTCAAGGCGCGTAGCCATGAACAATAAGATTTTCCTTGAGGTCTTATTTGCTGATCTATTGGGTTCAAATTTTCAGCATGTAGCAAAAAATATACTGAATATGAATGTTGAAAATTCTAAAAGCTACAAAGTCCTTTGAGTTCAAGTTTTGACAATAGTTTTCGTGCAAACCAAAATTTTCTCAGTCTATTCTGGACATGCTCCCTAACAACAAAAGTTGCCACGAAGATTGAACGATATCGATTACCAGTATTTCATGTGATTCCAGACTGATCAGAAATCAGTATTCTCTCAAACAGTAACGTAAAAACGGTTTCACAACAAAACAGTCACGCTTTGATATAACGTGAAAACGGTTTGCCCAGAAGCAACATTTTCACGCTAAAAACGTGACCGTTTTTTACGCTGTAGCTACATGTGGAAGGGAAGAGCATGCTTTGTACTACTTTCTGGGCGTTCCAGAAAACAGTATACTTACTTTTCTTTCGAATGTTGAAAACCGCAAATCGCTAGCTATTTTCACACTCGGGTTATTCAAAGAACAAGAAAATGAGTTCTTTTACGCTGGGTATCGACAGCAATAGTTGAGTAGCACTGATGTGACTCCGAATATTCAAATGTCAGTTGACAGATTAAAAAATAAGAAAAGTAATTGCTCAACTCACCTCCAATTGTATATGCACGTAAACAGCTAAAGCATGATGCATTCTTATCTGACTTGGAGGCTACATGCTCGGCAAGAAGACGGGCAATTGAGGGTAAAGAAGCGACAGAACTGATATGTTTTTTCATCATCGTTTGCACCAAATAGTCGACATCGAGCTGGCCACCCGGTCGAAGGAGAACCAGAGTAGATCCGGCGACGAGAGAAAAAGCAATTTCCCATGCATGATTGGTCCATTGACAACTGGACAACTGTAAAATGTTATCTGTGGAACAACACTGGTAGCTTTCAGCCACAGCACGAAGAAAGTAGGTAAGAGAGCCGTGGGTATGCTCGATGATCTTCGGTTTGCTAGTACTGCCCGATGTACAAGTAAGATAAGCTGAACACGTCTTGTTGACGTCTACATTTGAGAGACGAGAGAGATCATCATCAGTAAGAGCTGTTAAAGTCGTTGAGCAAATCAGGGCGGATGTGTCGACTGGTTCGAGCTGAACAACCATGTTTGTTGACAAATTTCGAGCGCGTTCATGTGAGGTTTGGTGGACAAGAATGAGAACAGCAGACGGGCACGACGCCTGAATGAAACGATTTACAATTACACTAGACAAGTTCTCTCTCAAACGATAATAAGTGCGACGTGAGAGGATCAGGTCACATGCGCCTGACCCAAAATACATCTGTCTCACTCGGCTCACAGAAGAGGCAAATCTCTGATCGCCTTAAGAGAGGTTTTCAGTCATTTATAGTCGATCGAGCTGATCACGAATATCACTTTAAAGTCAGTCCACAATATTTTCAAATTCTGGCCTATTTTTCACAAACAAAACTGAGTCCGATTCATCCACAGAAAGAAAAATTAGCTGATGATTACTGTTGTAGGAAGCAGCAAGATAAAACTGAAATTCAAAAGTGTACCTGGTCGCTGCTGTTGGGAATTTCATGAGATTGAGCAGTCGCCGTATCATGGATAAGTGATGAAAGTCGAAGATTATGACTAAAGAAACAAAAGTAAATCATACAGCATTTGTTAGGACTATTGCTGCAAAGTTTTTCGTTCAAGGCGTTCCTCTCTATCATTAATCTCAATTACACTGAACAGTGTTGAGACCGAATTGAGATACTCACTCATCCGGATTCAGACCGAAATAGATGCGACCAACGGCAAAGATGGCAAATATCCCCAGTGGCATTTCAATACTACGTGACACCATTTGATAGATAATTTCATGACGATGCGACAAATCAGTGTCGAGAAGAGACTTGGCGTACGATAAACTTTGTTCGTCCAACTCTATCGACACTTTTTGAGCGCCTCTCCATGTTGCTCATCAATTGAGTGTGAAGGCATGTTGACCAATCGTCGGTACAACAAGCCATGTTTGAAATCTATATTACATGAGGACAATGCATTGTTATTTCAAGACCTATTTTACACTGAATATTCATCAGTCCCTTTCTGCTTTTCCAAGAAAGAAAAGTCTGCTGTTCTTGATTTCTTCTAACCTTTTCGTATTCGTTTCACATCTCAATTGCGGCATCACTTCAGAAATGAACTGTTTTGGTCCAGAAATGAGCAGTTTTTGATATATAGCGGGTTAATCACCACTGAGACGAAGTGGCATAAAGTGGGGCGCCACCTTAGGAGTAGGGAATTCCGGGCTATGCCACTAACTTTAAGGCAAAGAAATGCACAGAAATCATATTAAGTTCATAAAGAAAAGCGAAGTACAACAAACAATAAAATACTATTTCTCAATGTACTAACGGTATATCCAATTTGAGCAAAATAATTTCGACCGACTAGAGAGAAATACTACCAGCTTGTGCCACTACTTTCAGAGTAAAGATCACTTCATTCTCTTCTCACATCCCACATACCCATCCTCTAGCAACTCTCACCTCCTCAGTTGGCGAAGGACAAGAGCGGTACGGGCATATTACGTGCGAGTAATTAGGCTTATATCGAAATCGTTCATTTCCTCTCCACAGTTTTGCGTCGCTCGTAATATCATGCAGTGCAGATGTGTGACCACAAGCAGAAAAAATGAGCGCCGCCTCAGGCGCCTGTCGACTTAGCCGAATTTAGAATTTCGATGATACTTCATGATGCGTATAGTGTCTAGATAGAAAACGTTTTACTAGAATCGGACAAAATCAATGGTCATAGAAAGGATAAGACTAAGAACCTCAAATTCCTGTCGCCCAAAGAATCTCAGTAGATATACATCAATTTCGTCTTTCGGTGTTCTTCCACTGATAACAGGTTGACTCCATAAAATAAGAATAATAATCTACAAAGAAATGATCTCTGTATAATGAACCAATATCACCAAGTGAAACGTTTAGCATAGTTTCGCCATGATAAAATGTACTTACTACCCATGCAGATGAAAAAAGTCTTTCTAGGGGTCCGGCGAGTACTCGAAAATGACACTTCGGACCCTGGATATAAGCTTTCGTGGGGTATCGATTTCTAGCCCTTTGATTTCAGATAGGCAGCGAGCCCTCTAGAAAAATGTCGAGCCGTCCAATAGAGATGTTCAGGACTTCCGACCCCTCGCTCCTCTCGAGGATGCGACGAGGACTCGGAAATATCCCTCGAAAGCTTATATCGAGGGTCCGAAGTGTCATTTTCCGAAGGCCCATCGAAAGCATATTTTCGGGCACTCGAAGGATCCCTCGAACAACTGGTTAAGACAGTTCGGAGATGTTTCCTTTTTTTCAACACTTGTCCGCAATGACGTTAAACTAGGTTAATGATGTCTGGTTATGGCTCAGGTTAGGGTAACAGACAGAAACAACACCTATCAGGATCGGCTTATGGCCAGGACTTTCCACGGATCTGTCAAATAGTAGTGGATGAATGAAGGTACAGCTGGGTGGTCTAGTTCAGAGGGTTCGTTATTGATCACCCTCCTCTTTGTACACAGTACAGAGCAGTCATTAGGTCACTCTTCCGAGGCCGAACCCATTTGTTACTACTACTCTTTGAATGTACTTGGACTCCCACTTTACGCGAGGTGGCTTGTTGAGAAGCGTAGGGAGGCAAGGATTGTCTGAAATTTGCGCACTCACCAAGTGGTCCCAAGAAGTTACGGGATATGGACAGAGTTCCCTAGGATGCACATATCGACTGGGTTATCTAGGTCTATATAATATAGAAGAAACACAACAAACAGTCATCGAATTTTTGGAATTACAAGCCACGGAGGGAAATATCAATTTCGTTCAGTCAAAAATCAAATACATCAAAAGACAAATTTGATGATTGGCGAAAAAATCATACTTCTATCCACAACAAAGAAAAGTTCTCCACTATAGTGATACGAAGGAGTGATTTTCCTGATCAAAAACTTCCACCGGTTGATAGGCCAAAACCACCTAAGCGTCCTACGAGGGACTTTAGTGAAGTGTCTAATCGACAAAAATGCACAAAATTAACCGATCTGAACTCTCAACTGGATGAATTTGCAAAAGAAAATAATATTGATGTGAATCAGGTGCTCGGATATGTATTGTACCAGTGCAATTACAATACAAAAAAGCATTTGGCAAAATTAGGCGACGAACTGTATAGAACGGGAAATATTGCCGAAGCAGCTCATAGTAGTCTCGATCTCGATCACACACTTGCACTCAAAACACATATCAACATGAGTCGCAATGATATGGATTTTATAAAGAGCTACTTCCGCGAGTCTATTCACATTCCCAATCGAAACGTTATTAGGGAACATTCTCAAATGTTAGTTCCAGCCGTCGAAGAATGCAGAGAGGGACGAGGTATCACGGTTGTGAAAGTGAGCGACAGTGTTTCCTTAACTATCAAAAGACTCATTGATCAATCACTCAAACATAATATTCCTCTTTCTACTGATTTACTCTACCGTCAAAAAACGGGTCATGATGGAGCTGGTGGACAAAGTATCTATAGAGCAAATCAAAATCCTATGACAGATGCAAATATTTTTTCGAAAATGATGGGGCCTCTTTCTCTTTCGGACAGCGCTACTGGAGAAACGTTCTGGCGAAACCAAGCGCCAAATAGTGCATTTTGGACGAGGCCATTAGCGCTGATAGCTGAGAAAGAAAATTTCGAACTTATTCGCTTCGTGAATGAAACATTCGAGCCTCAAGAACAGATGCTACGAGAAAATGGCCTTTCTTTTGATCATAACGGACAAACCTACAAAGTATTCATAGTTATTGAAGATTCAATGAAAGACATGAAAGTACGCATGGTCGAATCCGGTCTAGGAGGGGCCGACTGTCTTATATGTTACACGCGACAAACGGAATGGAAAGACGTGAAGAAATTGAATGAAGAAAATGCCTTTCTCATTACTCGTACAGCTGAAAAGACGATGAATTTGTACAATGAAATGATCGAGGAGAGTGGAGAAATTAAGAAAAGAAAAAATGACTATGAAACGAGAGCGGGTCTAACATCTGAGCCTCTTTCTACTAGCGATCACCATTTTCTCACTCTAATACATCAATATATCAATGGAACTACTTGATTTCTTCACATTCTCTATAGAATCAAAGCGAATCTTTTCACACGGACTGTTCGAGGAGAGAAAAATCAAGAAAATCTCAAAAAGGCGAAGGACTTTGTATTAACATCTATACAAGAAAAAACTGGACTAAAATTAGATCAAATTGACTCGTCTGCTGGACACACAGGCACGAGTACAACTGGACAACAAGGCAGACGATTTTTCTCGTACGAATTAAGAGAGAAAATTGTTGAAAGTGTTCCAGATAAGCACCAGCAAAAGTTCTCTCGATTAATGCACATGTACTCAGTTATTCTTCGTGCGGTATCTTCTACTCAATCTCTCAATATAGTTGAATTGAAAAAACTAACTGTGGATTTCAGTCTCTTTATTGCTAATGAATTCTCTTGGGTTGATTACAACATTACTGTTCACAATCTCATATTTCATTCGACTGAATTAGTGGAAAGAAACGATGGCATCGCTTTAGGAGCGTTAAGTGAAGAGGCATTCGAAAGTTGCAATAAGGATGTTCGAAATTATCGAGAGTTTTTATCCCGTAAATGTGGACACATACCAAATCTCACAGATGTAGTCAACCGATTATTCGTTCGGTCGGATCCGCTTATTCGGCACATTATCATACAGTCTCAGTCGAAGAAAGAGAAGAGAGGGAGCACACGGTACAGGTAACGGCTAGTGCAAACGAAGATGACCTTGTTTTGGCTAAGATCTTGATTTAAAAAGTTAGTTTAGTCTTGATTTAAAATAGTCGATAACCTATGAAAACATAATTTTCGTCGATTTTACACTTGTCTCTATCGTTTAAATGCACACTTCCGCCTGCTCTAGCCAAATATGCCCACTGTGCATGGTCGCCGGAAAACCTATCTAGTTTCCGAATCTCAACATATGGAGACCTGGGACTGGTCCATTCTACAATCTTAGTCCTGAATGAAATCATGTTGAAACATTTTCTAATATACTTGTGTATTTATCTCTTTCGATCAATGCTAAATTGAATGTAATCAGATAAGTAAATATTCTTCATTTCGTCGGCATTTAACATTAACCTACGAGTCATAAGTAATTGGACGAGTGTCGAGCATTATTTCCACATATTCCTGATGTGCTGGAAAGTTAATTATTTTTCCGTTGGAAGAAGCAAAGTCTGAACTTCAGAGAACATGGAAAGCCAAACTTTTTATGGTTCAGTTTGAGTGAGAAAAAATTTGAATCTCAAGCATCGCCAAAAAAGCTCTTGTAACTTCCGCCGTCTCCTAACTATCTCTCATCAAATGTATTTTTTTTTCTAATAACTGAGTACGTTTGAAATTCTGTAATTATAGAAACTGGAAGTGTTTTTATTGCTCTTTCGAATAGGATGTGATAATTTATCTTTTGATCTAGTTTTCAATTAGAAATTCGTAAGTTTTTTATTTATTTCAGAAAAAGAGTTGATTAGAATTAATCAATAATTTTCATATACTCCAGCATGTTTTTCACGTTTAAATCTCTCTACAGATGCATCTGCTCGTCAAAAAGTCATCAGATTGACATGCTGATTGAGATAATAAAGAACGATTTTTCTTCCTATTGAAACAAAAGCACTCCAAAACATTTGAGTCTAAAAATCAGCAAATTCTTACAAATTTCCACTTCTAACAAAGCATTTCACAAAATTTTCACTCTCTCTTTCAATAAACAATTAAAACTAAAACATTTCTCTCCTCTCTTATTTTTCCGTCTGCATGAACAAGTTCCTATATAAACAGCCACTTTTCTGTCTATCAACCATCATTCTACAAACGAGCATTTACTGAAGAAGATATTCGAAACGCGTATAAATTCTCGTATATTCATTTTTTTATATATTCAACATTCATCATCATTTTTTAAAAACATATATATTTTTATATTAAACACAAACAAAATACAGCCAAAAACATTTTATTATTTAATCAAGCATTTATTCAAACAACGTCCGTATCATTTCAACTCTTTTTTCATCCTTTGCGCTTTATTTTATCTACCGTACTTCTCGTAGTACACAAAAAAATCAAAAAACAAAAACCCAATTTTCAAAAAATTGGGTAAGTCTTTCCTTTTCCTTTTTGTCTTTTTCCGCTTTAATTTCTTCTCCTTCGATTTATTATTATCTGTCAAACACCCTCATCCTCACTCTAAAATCATACCAAATTTCAGAACAAGTCTCTTTGCCGTTCAATCATATTATTATCAATGACAATATTACGATTCCAGACGATCACGAAATCATAAAACTGATCCATTCTACCGTGCACTTACGAGATGACTTCGCAAAGAAATTTTCGAAAAAATGTATTAATAAAATGAATATATATGACAGTACGACAACAGCAACTGGTATTAGCATTGCACTATGCGCGAACTTTCTATCTCTATTGGGGATATTTGTTTACCTTATCATCGATAAACGCAACGGTGATTTAATGAACACAACAAAGCCCCCTACAGAATTGATTAAAATAATACCAGATAAAAAAACATGTTTAGACATAAATACAATGATTGACCAACATCATTTAAAGGTTATATCACCAAAATAACACAATAGTCGTGTCTCACTTTATGTATTCACTTGTTTCTTTATCGAAAACGTACATTAGTCAATATAAAAACACGATTATTTATTATTTTTTTATAAAACAGAAACAAATTACAGAAAATCAAAATAAACAGCTGGTGTATCATGGATTTTGTGCCAGATTCCAGATTTGTTTTGCTGCTTATTAACTATAACACACAAAAATGACGATTAGGTGGTAATGAGTTACTACATAAGCTTGCTTTTTTTTAAAGAGCTTTGGTGAGCATAACGCTGTAGTACAATACGAATGTGGTCATGTCGAGCATGAGGATTGTTTCTTCTATTACCATAACTCTCACAATTTACACTGTCGCGTGTGCGGAAGATGGTCTACCTTTCTAACGTTTCATCAGGTGACGATAGAATTCCCATGCGACATTACGACAGTTCATCCACATAAAGCACATATACCAACGATAACAGATTGGTAAACAGAATCTACATAAGTGGCCATTTTTTGAACTTTTTGAGACAAATGATTAGAGTCAGAAAGCAGTTTTTGTCTTTGGTATATTTAATAGTTAACAAAGCTTCCGGCGTTTTTTCTCTTTCTCAATCAGATAGCCACGTTTATTTTTATTCATAGTTTTATTTTTATGGTTATATGTTTACTCTTACTGCTTATTGCTGCTCCTTATCCATTCCGATCAGTTGAGATTACCATATGATATTACGTTACCCCTTCAAAACACGTTATTCATTGACAACGCACACTATTTACATATCTCTCAATCGTATCGTACATATTTTATTCTAAACATGAATATATAATTTTTATATATATATAAATTGAAAGTCACCCAACGTTCTCATACTTATTCTCTTCTCCTCTTTTCTGTAAAGGAAGGACAAGGAATACCACTCGTTTTGTCCATCTTAATACATTCGTACTCAGTAAAACGACACATTACACTATTCCACACAGCATTCCGTCAGTATTTTCTTTTCACATTTTGTACTGTGACACAACAAACTCCTGTTTTTGTTTTGTTGTTTTGTTTTTTTGTTTTTTCTTCCCTGCTTATAGAAAAGAAAAAGAATTATGCCATTTTTCAAGGTTCTTCCATTTATCATTATTTTTATTGTTATCTTTATTTATTTGTATCTGAGACTATAAATATATATCGCCATTTTTCTACCTAATTGTGATCCAACTTCAAGGCTTTCTTCTTACATCGTATTTTTAATGTAATTTTAGATAATGATCAACGCCTAAAGATCCTCGTGTGCCGAGGTGAAACGCGCCGCAAGATCAAGTTCTATCTTAGAAAGCCGCACTATTTAGCTTGTTTATTTTTCCTCTATTTATATAGTGATTTTTCTTCAGTATCGCATTAGTTGTATAGCAACGTTTCGCGTATAATAAAAATGACGGACGCAAACACGGCGCCCAACACAAATTCTGCGATAAGATTTGAAAAAGAGGCAGATTTAACCACTGTATTTGCAGGTGAACAAGAAAAAGATGGCGACCAAAATGATAATTGGAACCCATTGCCAGTATTTAGTAGTGGTCAGTATCAGTATTGCTAGTATCAGTTTTTCAGTAAAATACTGATACTAGTGCATACCCAACTGCTGAAATTCAAGCGTGCTACTCCCCCCCACCCCCAGAATAAAAGGGCATGCCCTTATACAGTGTCTTGGTACATCGCTACTTTTTGGGTGGTCTTCTATTGGGGGTCAATTTTTGGCCAGTTTTCAATTAAAATCATTCAAAAAATTAATAATTAATTACTAATTTTAATTATTTTTTTTTAGGTGTTTTTTGCTGAAAAAACTACCATTTTTGGTAAAAAAATGTACTATTTATGATAGGAAAGAAAGGATTTCGCAAAAAACCATTAGGAAATCGGTTATATTTTCTTAATTATTAATTAATATTTATGAAAATTTCGATAATTTTGGAATATATTAATTAATTAGTGCATGGCCTTCTAATAGGGCGTTTGAACTTTTGCTCGGACACGGCCTTATACAGGGGTGGCCTTCTAATAAAGAGTGGTCGTCTATTTGGGGGAGGGGGGCTAGTCTACTTTATCAAAAAAATCAACTTCGTTCAAAAAACTTTGACCTAGTATCAGTATTGAACAAGAGGGGTGTAAGCACTGTATGTATTGAAACGCTGTACAACTTCGCTCAATTTAATCTCATTTAATTTTATATTAGATTTTTTAATATTGTATTACTCAAGAACCTGGCTAAAAGAAAAGTAGGTCTGAACTAGACCACAAAAAATGTACATAATGATCGAAAATAAACGTTGGTTACAAGTCAGTTTTTGTAACTAAAGAAACAATTATCAACAATGAAATTAAATTAACAATTGTCAACAATTATTGTTTTGGTTAATAATTTCGATTCGAATCGTTTCTCTAAATAATTTGTATGC